CTGTGTGCCTTGTCCGGCCGCCGCGCTCTTTCGGGCGACACTGCTGTGTGACGAGCCCTGGCGCAGCGCTGAAGTGCTGGCGAGCGTTCCTGAGCTCGCGCGGGCTGAGAGGCGCCTCGTGGAGAAACAGGTGCATCAGACAAGCTTCTTCAGGCGTGAATCACAGCGCTGTGAGCCGTGAGCTCAGCGGCAGACTCCATGACGCGTGTTAAGAAAGGTGTCTTCCAACAGAGGCACGTGTAAGACGAGGTTGTGTGTTAGTTGGCTGACACGAGCGCGATGACCAGAGGCTCAGAGGGACCTAATCCTGTGTTTCCTGTAGAAGCCATGGTTCCCTGCTCAGTGATTTAGTGTTCCCGGTGACTTCTAGAAACGCCAGCTCTGTGAATAACGAAAACGGAGAAGTGAGTGTACTTACAACAGGAAACGACACACGTTTAGTGAACACCTCATGTGTGCCTCATGTACCTGGGAATGGAGAATAAGCAAGCAGATGAAGACTTCTTTTTTGTTTTTAATTAAAAAATTTTTTGTCAGGGGGAGGGAGGCAATTAGGTTTTTTTTATTGATTTATTTAATGGCTGTACCGGGGATTGAACCCAAAGCTTGTGCATGCTAAGCACATGCTCTACCACTGAGCTATACCCTCCCCCAGTTAAAGACTTCTTAAACTTGCATCTTCATAGCCAACATGTAAGCTGTGAGATCTGCTCATTCAAGTCTGTGTCACCAGTTCCTAGTGTAGCTCTGAGGAGATAATGAGAAACATGGTGATTATAGTTGATAACTTAATTGACATTTGCCAAGAGAGTAGAACTTTAATATTCTCACCCAAAAAAAGTGTGTGAATACATATATGATATCACATATAGTGATGGATGTGTTAATTGGCTAGATGGGGAGAACCCTTTCACAATGTGTGTGTATATTCACCATGTATATGTATAAAGTCACCATGAGGTATGCTTTAAATATCTAACAATTTTATTGTTAGTTATACCTCAATAAAACTTTTTAAAGGGGGAGGAGGAAAGTCCTTTTTTTGTTCATAAGAGTAAGATTTAAAACGAAAATATTTTTGATTTGTGTTTGCTCTCACAATGGCTGAATGTGTTAAAAAATTTTTTTCAGTGGAGGTACTGGGGATTGAACCCAGGACCTTGTGCATGCTAAGTGTGTGCTCTGCCACTGGGCTGCACCCTTCCCCAACCCCAGCTTCATGTGTTTTATGTGTACACCTGTGTACCATCTCCCTGTTCAAGAGACAGAGTATTTCTGGTACCCTAGAAGGCCTCTGAATGCCCTTCCCGGGCTCCCCCAGAGCAGACCGCTATTCTCAACTTTATCGTGGTGAGTTTGTTTTTGCCTGTTTTTTGAACTTTATATGAAGATATTATGCAGTGGGTACCTTTTGTTGTCTTTTCTCTTCTGCTGAACATAGTTGTGAGGTTGATGCAGGCTGTTGCATGGATGTTGTTTATTTCTCTGTAGAATTCCACTGTGTGGGTGTAATACATTCTCTTCAGTGGACACTTGGGTTGTTCCGAATGTTTGATTATCACTGACTAGAGCTGCTGTGAACACTCTTGTACGTGGCTTCCGGTGGTTTTTTTGTGGGGGGAGTAGCTGGGAATGGAACTGAAGGACATATGTGCATGTGTGCTGCAAGCAGTTTTACCAAGTGGATGCATCTTTTTCACTCTCCCTCAGTGATGTAGAGCATTCCAGTAACTCCCCGTCTTTGACAACACTTGGTGATGTCGTGTCAGCCCTTTATCATTTTAGCCACTCCAGGTGGGGTGTAATATGATTTCACTGTGGTTTTAACAGAAAATTTCTGATTCATGCTTATCAGTCATCTAGTGAACGTCATTTGTGAAGTTCTTGTTGAAATCTTCTGACCACTTACTAAATATTTTTATTGTGGTTGTTGGGTAGAGAGTTTTATTTCTGTATGTCTATTTTTAATCAGTTAGGTCAGGTTGACTAATGACGTGGTTCAAATAATCTATCTCCTTTTTTTCCTGCTTGTTCTGTTATTGAGATGCGTGTTTAAATCTCCAGTTAGTTATCATTTTAGTTCTATTTTTCCTTCATATATTTATTTATTTTTATTTTTATTATTTTTTGCTTCATATATTTAAAAGCTATACTATTTGATACACAGAATTTTAGAGTTGCTGTATCTTCCTGCTGGACCGATCCTATTATAAAATGCGCTCTATATTGAGTCATAATTTTGCCTTAAAACCTGCTCAGATGGTGACATAGCTACAGTTTCCCTTTCCTGGTGAGGGTGTGCATGCTGCATTTTTTTCTGATTAATTTCCTTGAAATGTTCCATGCTCTGGTACTTGAAGTGCACCTTTAAAATTTTTAATCGAGTTTGACAGATAGTCTTTAGTGTTTAGCTCACTTACGTTTATATACTTGCTGACACATTTGGGATTTAGTGTATTATCTTGCTATTTGTTTTCCAACATCTGTTTTCTGTTCTTCCTTATCATTTTTTGAATAAACTAAATATTCACTATTCATTTTTTCTTTGTTATGCATATATATATGTAAGTATAATCAGTTTACAATGTGGTGTCAATTTCTGGTGTACAGCACAATGCTTCAGTCATACAGAACATACATACATTCATTTTCATATTTTTTTCACCATAAGTTACAATATATTGAATATAGTTTCCTGTGCTATACAGTATAAACTTGTTGTTTATCTATTTTATATATATTAGTTAGTATTTGTAAATCTAGAATTCCCAATGTATTCCTTCCCATCCATTTCCCCCCGGTAACCATAAGTTTGTTTTCTGTCTGTGAGTATGTTTCTGTTTTGTAAATAAGTTCCTTTGTCTGTTTTTTTTTTTTTTTAGATTCCACGTATGAGCGATCTCATATGATATTTTTCTTTCTCTTTCTGGCTTACTTCACTTAGAGTGACAATCTCCCGTTCCACCCATGTTGTAGCAAATGGCATTGTTTTGTTCTTTTTTATGGCTGAGTAGTATTCCATTGTATAAATATACAACAGGTTTTATCCTTTATCCAGTTGGCCTGCGATGGACATTTAGGTTGCTTCCATGTCTTCCATGTATTGTAAATAGTGCTGCTATGAACATTGGGGTGCATGTATCTTTTTGAATTAAGGTTCCCTCTGGATATATGCCCAGGAGTGGGATTACTGGATCATACGGTAAGTCTATTTTTAGTCTTCTGAGGACTCTCCATACTGTTTACCATAATGGCCAAACTCCATTCCCACCCACAGTGTAGGAGGGTTCCCTTTTCTCCACACCCTCGGCAGCATTTATTGTTCATGGACTTTTGAATGATGGCCATTCTGACTGGTGTGAGGTGATACCTTGTTGTGGTTTTGATTTGCATTTCTCTGATAATTAGCGATATTGAGCATTTTTTCATGTGCCTATTGGCCATTTGTATGTTGGAGAATTGCTTGTTTAGGTCTTCTGCCCATTTTTGGATGGGGTTGTTTGATTTTTTGTTACTAAGTTGTAAGCGCTGTTTTATATATTCGGGAAATTAAGCCCTTGTCAGTCTCTCGTCATTTGCATATACTTTCTCCCAGTCTGTGGGTGGTTGTTTCGTTTTGCTTATGGTTTCCTTTGCTGTGCAGAAGCTTCTGAGTTTGCCTGGTGCTGTGCTAGGCACTGATGGTCCAGCCAAGGTCTGTTCAGAGGGAGTTGACGTTCTTGTGGAAGAGAGAGAAATAAGCATACAAACGGGGAGCAGGAGGTGGTGGG